CACAACCACTACTAATCCCAAAGACAACCGCCCACTTACGGTGCTGGAAGGTGTAGGGCACAAGCGCGTCGGGCCAGAGGTGAGTCGAGTCGATGGCTTTCCTCTTGATCCGCACCAGCTGACCTGACCGGGTGGGGGAGGGGGAAGGGGGAGGGGGGAGAGAGAGAGAGAGAATTAGATGGCTGGGAATGTTGGGGGTGAGGGGGGATGGGAGGGGAGGGGAGGTAGGGAGGGGAGGTGAGGTAGGGAGAGAAGAGAAAGGGGGAAGAGGAAGGAGGAAGAAGTAAAAAGTGATGGCGATATGTTTATATATATGTATATGTATATATATATGTATACACATACGCACACACACACACACACCACATACATGCACACACACACACACACACACACACACACACACACACACACACACACACACACACACACACACACACACATGTACACACACACACACACGCATACACACACACACACACGCATACACACACACACACATATATATACATTCTCACACACACACACACACACATATATACACTCACGCAGACACACACACACACGCACACACACACACACATGCACACACACACACGCACACACACACACACACACACACACACACACACACACACACACACACACACATATATATATATAAAAGGAGAGAGAGAGAGAGAGAGAGAGAGAGAGAGAGAGAGAGAGAGAGAGGAGAGAGAGAGGAGAGAGAGAGAGAGAGAGAGAGAGAGAGAGAGAGAGAGAGAGAGAGAGAGATAAAGAAGGAAGCAGAGAGAGAGAGAGAGAGAGAGAGAGAGAGAGAGAGAGAGAGAGAGAGAGAGAGAAGAGAGAGAGAGAGAGAGAGAGAGAGAGAGAGAGAGAGAGAGAGAGACAGAGAGAGAGAGAGAGAGAGAGAGAGAGAGAGAGAGAGAGAGAGAGAGAGAGAGAGAGAGAGAGAGAGAGAGAGAGAGAGAGAGAGAGAGAGAGAGAGAGAGAGAGAGATCAAGCGAGCGAGATACAAACAGAGGGAGGGAAAGAAAGTTATACTAGCTAGACGTTACGATAGAAAATGATGCAGGTAAAAAAAATATAGTGAGCTGATGAAAAGAGAAAAAAATATATCAAAACGAAAGCAGACAAACACTTAATTGTGGAGAAAAGGAACTATGAAAAAATGGTAACAATTATAATAGTAACAATGATAATAATAACTGACAGCGATAATGATAGTTATAGTGATTATGATGATATTGATAATAATGATAACAACAATAATAATGGCAATGATAATAATAATAATAATGTTAATAACAACAACAACAATAATAATTATAATGGCAACAACAATAATAATGATAATAATAATAATAATAGTAATACAGTAGTGAGTGAGTCCATCGTAGCTATGATGGAGAGTTGAGAACCACACACACACACACATACACACATATATACATAGATGATTACTTAAACAACTACTCCCCTGGGGAAGTATCATGGGTCAGCCTCCCCTTTATAAAGAGCCAGTCACCTTAAGGCTCAACCCAGACAGACAACATGCCTGTACCTTAGGCTCGAGGGTCCAGGGAACTTACCCCTACACAAAAGGGCCCAGGAAGAGATGGCCCCTGTTCTGTTTTAGTCAGAAAAGTTTTCAAATGAGGTAGTTCTCCTATGACAAAGCTAGTTTACCTGTGCTTCTGAACGCCAGCAATTGAGAGTGATCTTGTGATGCCCGGATTGCGGGTGGTGTGTAATAATAATGATAATGATAATGATGATGATGATGATGATATCAGTGATAAAAAAAATAATGATAATATTAATGATACTGATAATAATAATAATAATAATAGTAATAATGATAATAATAATAATAATAATAGTAATAATAATAATAATAAAAATAATAATAACAATAAAAATAATAATGATAATAATTATAGTAATGGTAATAGTAATAATAATAAGGGATAATGATAATAACAATAATAATCATGATAATGATAACAATAATGATAATGATAATAATAGTAATAAAATAACAATAATAATAATAATGATAATAACAATGATTTTGATAATGATGATAGTAATAATAATGATAATGACAATGATAATAATAATAACAACAGTAATAATGATGAAACTGATAATGACAACAATGATAATAACAACAATAATGACAATAATATTAATGGTAACGACAGTAACAATAATAATAATGACAACCATAATTAGGAAAAGAAAATAAGAATTCATATTAAAATAAATACTGTATCTGATTCCTCATTTATATCCTAATTCATATCTATATTCTATCCTAAAATTTATGTAAAAAAAAAAAAAAAATCCAAATTTGACTTAATGATCCTCATTTTTTTTATTGCTAAACAAAAATCTCTCCAAAATATACGATGTCGATATTTTCTGACACTGAAACGATAATAATACTGAATTTAAAAATATGACATATTACGTAATTATTACATATTACATT